GCACAGCAACAAGTCATGAAGGGGCTGCTTCCCCAGCAAGGATGGTTGGAAGAGAAGAAGAAGACATCTGGCTCAAGGGTGCAGGGATAGAGAAAACAAGGAGTGAATCTGGGAACTTGGGGTGGGTTTTATGGAAATGGATAAATTGTAATTCACATTTAGTGACTGTATGTAAGTAACGCACTGGTACAATTCTATGTCCATGTAAGGTTAGCAGTTATCCCATGTTGGACCTCAGGCCTGAATAAATGATACAGTCTGAAATAGCAAATTAGTGTTAAGGAGCCTTATTCTGATATTTTGGACATTTGGTGACAGCAGAGGCTCACAGAACCAAGGACTCAGCTGTGACACCGTGGAACCCCATGGAACAAAGGGTCCATTGTGATGTTGTGGAACCCTATGGAACCAAAAGTCCATTGTATCAGAGCAAGGCCTCATGGAACCAAGGAGAGCATTGCTGACAGTGTGGAAGCTCATGGAGCCATGGGGTCATTGTGACAGTGTGGGGCTGCATGGAACCAATGGTCCATTGGGACAGTGCAGAACATTCTGGAATCAAGGGAATCATGTTATGCTATGGAACTTCATGGAACAAAGGATCCATTGTGACACTGCTGTGCTCAGACCATTGCTGACAGTGTGGAAGCTCCTGGAAACAAAAGTCCATTGTGACACAGCAAGGCCTCCTGGAAAAATGGAGACCATTATGACACTTTGAGGCCTAAAATTGGAATCAAAGGAGCCTCATCATGGAATCAAAAGAGCATTGTGACACAGCAAAGCCTCATGGAACCAAGGGCACAATAGTGACACTGTGGGGCTCCAAGGGACCAAGGGGGGATTCTTCAACTGCAGAACCAAGGAGAATATTTTGACACTCTGGGGCATCATGGAACCACAGGTCCATTGTGACAGCATGGCTGCATGAAACCATGGAGGCCATTTTCACACTTTAAGGCCTTGTGAAACCAAAGGGCTGTTGTGGCACTTTGTGTCTCCATGGAACCAAGGAGTCCATTGTGACACTATGAGGCCCTGTTGGGCCAAAGGGCCATTGTGGCACTGTGTGGCACCACGGAACCAAGGGACCATTGCGACACTACAGGGCCCCATGGAACTAAGGATTCTTGAAACAATGTGGGACTCATGGAACCAAAGGTCCATTGTGACATTGCCGGGCCTCATGGAATTAAGGGGGGGCAGTTGTGATGCTGTGGGGCCCCATGGAAGCAAGGGACCAGTGTTACACAGCTGGGCCTCATGGAACCATGGGAGACCATTGTGACACATGGGGCCTCATGGAAACAAAGGAGCATTGTGACACAGCAAGGCCTCATTGAATCAAGGGGAGACAATAGTGACACTGTGGGGCTCCATGGGACAAAGGGGCCATTCTGACACCGACTCATGGAGCCACAGGTCCATTGTGACACAGCAAGGCCTTGTGGAACCATGGAGACCATTGAGACATCATGGAAACTCATGGAACCAAGGGTCCATTGTTACAGTGCAGAACCAAGGAGACCATTGTTGACAGTGCAGAACCTCAATGGACCAAGATTCTGTTGGTATGCAGTGGAACCAAGGAACCACTGGGACACAGCAGGGCCACATGGAACCAAGGGTCCATGGAGATACTGCAGATCCAAGGAGACCATGGTGATGCTGTGGAACCTTGAGGAACCAAGGGGCCGTTGTGACACTGTGGGGGCCCGTGGAACCAAATATTCATGGTGACACAGCGGGGCTGCTTGTGACCAATTGTCCATTGTGGTACTACAGATCCAAGAGACCAGGGTGACACTCTGGCAGTTGATGGAACCAAGGGGCTGTTGTGACACACCAAAGGCCTTGTGGAACCAAGGAGAGCATTGTGGCAGTGCAGAACCAAGGAGATCATTTTGACAGTACAGAACCCAATAGAACCAAGGGTCCATTGTTCTGCAGCAGGGCCTCATGGAGCCAAGGGGCCATTGTGAAACTGTGGGGCATAAGGGAGCCAAGGACACCACCGATACTGAAACAAACTGGATAGAAATTTCTGAACAGAGTTTGGAGTATTTGAAAGCAGGTATTCTTTATTACAGTATGGTCGTCCCTTGGGCCATCCTCCCTCCATTGGAGTGCATTAAGCATTGAATGAACAGAGTTTTTATCACACACACTGATTATGTATCCATCAGCTATCTCCGCTTCCTTTGAGTTTATTTTACATAGTTGCACCCCTTATCACAAATCCTTTCATGGTTCTTTGGGTTTTGTCTTCAACATCCAGTGTCCTTTTTAGGCGGCTGTTCCTTGAACCCTCCTTTTGAGTAAGAGCAATATTATTGTTTTGCATAACTTCTGCTTTGTCAACTTTGCAGAGCTGAGCTGGCATCCTGCTTGCATTTGTGTGACTTCTGTTTGCTAGAGGTACATCCTCAATCAGTTTCTCCAAGGCTGTCCTGTTCTGTTCTGCTGTCCTTGACAAGAGTAAATGTTGTTCTGTTCTCCTGTCCTTGTCTCAGTGCTCGCCCCACATGAGGTGTCTGCAACCCCCCCAACCTATGGGTCTGGGGTGGGCAAGTGTTCCTGGGGAACAGGGATGGGACAGCTGGGCTGGACTGACCCAAGGGATGTTCCATTCCATGTCACACCATGATCAGCAATCAACTGAGAGAAGCGGGGGGCACAAGCGGGGTAGGGGATTATTTTCTTTTTAAGACATTTTTCTTTCAAAACAGCACCTACACATACAGAATCCTCTCCTGCCATAATGTGATTAAAGATTTTCTGCTGATTAGAGACTTCCGGTGGATTTTCTTTTCTTCTGTTTGTGGCCTTTGCTTTTTGTGGTTGGTTTGTTTGTTGTGTGTGGGGTTTTTGTGTTGCTGTGGGTAGATCTTGCTTTGTTTTTTTAATTGGGTTTGGGGTCTTTTTTTTCATTGGGTTTGGGTTTTTCCCTATTGAACTGTCTTTCTTCTGATGCATAAATTTTCTCTGCCCCTTCTTGGGGCTTGCTTGGCACCTGATGGCAAGACAAATTTACCCAACTCGGTCGCCTTGCCCAATTACGTTTTGCAGTCACCATGAACTAGATGAGTTCAGTCACAGACTCCCTGCAATTTGGCAGCATCCACAAATGAATTGAAAGTACATTTCATGGCACTGTAGAGACAATAGAAATATTCCACAGTGGTGGCCAAGGGCTGGTCACTGAGGGATGTTACCAGAGCGTGGCTGCCAAGAAGACTCTGTACCATGGATGACATCTGACCCTCATTGTTCAGCCAAATTCCCACCCAGCCCATGTTCCACTCCTTCAGCCCAGCTCTCTCCAGTCTGGCTCTGAGGAGACCACAGCAGAGCCTGTCCCAGGCCTGACTGAACTCTGGGCACACAACATCCCCTTCTTACATCCCCTTCTTTTCCCTCCCACGTGGGTTCTGCAGTCCCTGCCCCATCCTGCCAGTGCCTGGAATGGTTGCAGGAGGATTTGCCACATCCCCTTCCCTGCTGAGCCTGAGCAGGCTGTGACTCTCCCAGTCCCCCTCCCTGCTCTGTTTACAGACTGGTTCCATGTCTGCCCTTCCCAAGTGCCCAGGACCCTCTGGGATGGCTCTGGCCTTTCCAAGGGGTTTGAGAGAGGTCCCACAGTGACACTGCCCAGCCTTCTCAACAGCCCTGACACCAAAGGCCTTTTCCACATCCCTCAGTGCCAACTCAGTGCCCAGAACACAGCACAGCCCTGTCCAGGTCCTCGGGCTGGTTCAGAAGGGAGGCAGCTCTGATTTCTCCCCACAGACCCTCACTCTATCCAATGTCTCTCCTTATCCAATGTCTCTCTGTGCAGTCCATGGCTGCCCTGAGCATTTTTCCCTGGAGCCTCCCTGCCTGGGATATTTCTCTCCATGCAGTCCTAACCACAACCCAGCAAACAATCCAGGTGTTTTCCCAGAGGATGATACTTTCAGAGTGAAGTGGCCTCAAGGCCCTGTTTGTGCCACTGGAATTGTGCCACCCCTGGGTGCTGCTGATGGTGTTTGTACTCACTGGGGTTCATCTCCCCACAAACACACGATGTACTGCTGAGATCTCCTCAGTACAGAGCAAACATGGCCTGCTGGCCTGGTCACTTGGTGTCCCTCCGTGCAGGGACAAACAACCTCCTGCAGGTGGGGAGAGGCCAGTGCTGGCAGTGATGGTTGCAGGGGCTGGTGTGGGACAATGCCCTGGGGCACCTTCCCAGGCTGTCCCAGAACAAAGACACAGCCCAGGCCCTGCTCTGCTGCTGCCTCAGGTCCATGCCAGGAGCTCTGGCTGTGCCAGGACACTGCTGTGAGCCCCCCTTGCACACTCTCCCACTGCCCCAGGCACTGGGCTCTGCTGTGCCAGGGCATTCCTGGAGCACATTTCTGACAGCAGCTCTGGAGGGGAGCAAAGCCTCCCTGCCCTGCCCTGAGGAGATGCCCTTTGCTGCTGGAGCTGCTGTGCTGGAGCCCAGCTGTGTCCCAGCAGTGCCCATGGCCTGGCCCTGCCTGTGGCCACAGCAGGGACACGCAGCAGGACAGTGACCAAGCTGCCAGAGCACTCTGGCCTTACAGCCACAGCAGGGCTGGGAAGGACAGGGTGCAGTTGGGCATAGCAGCTCTGAAAGGACCAATCCCTGCTGCTCCCTGGCCGTGCTGCTCTGCTTGGACTCTTTTCCCCTTCTCCTCTCTAACTTCATGATGGTCTCACAGAGCTGGGATCCCAGATAAAACAGGCACTTCAAGGTAGTTTATTTTCTTCAAATGTAGCAATAGCACAAACCCTGGTTTACAGAGCTTGTGGGTCAAATTCAAGAGGTGGACACTGAATTTGATGGAGGTGATTAAAAATTTTTATTGAGGATAATTTTGTGAGAGAAACCCCCATCGAATACTACCAAAGACCTGGGCAGGCCTGTTGGACCTGTCACGAGTTCCATTCCAAAAACTATGCAGAAGGAAACTGGCAATTGGTTACTTCAGAAATCATCCAGTCATCATTTTCCTCAGGGCATCCTTGAGCTCCTGGTTCCTCAGGCTGTAGATGAGGGAGTTCAGGGCTGGGGGCACTACAGAGTACAGAACTGAAACTGCCAGATCAAGGGATGGGGAGGAGATGGAGGGGGGCTTCAGGTAGGCAAAGGCTGCAGTGCTGACAAAGAGGGAGACCACGGCCAGGTGAGGGAGACAGGTGGAAAAGGCTTTGTGCTGTCCCTGCTCAGAGGGGATCCTCAGCACAGCCCTGAAGATCTGCACATAGGAGAAAACAATGAACACAAAACAACCAAATGCTAAACAGGCACCAACCACAATGAGCCCAAGTTCCCTGAGTTTGGAGTGTGAGCAGGAGAGCTTGAGGATCTGTGGGATTTCACAGAAGAACTGGCCCAGGGCATTGCCATGGCACAGGGGCAAGGAAAATGTATTGGCCGTGAGCAGCAGGGCATTGAGAAAGGCACTGGCCCAGGCAGCTGCTGCCATGTGGGCACAAGCTCTGCTGCCCAGGAGGGTCCCGTAGTGCAGGGGTTTGCAGATGGACACGTAGCGGTCATAGCACATGATGGTCAGGAGAGAAAGCTCTGTTCCAATGAAGAAGAGAAACAGAAACACCTGAGCAGCACATCCTGTGTAGGAGATGTTCCTGGTGTCCCAGAGGGAATTGTGCATGGCTTTGGGGACAATGGTGCAGCATGGGCGTGTGCAGGTGGTGGCTGCAGGCTACGGCGCTGATGATGAGGCCGTTGCCCAGCAGGGCAGCCAGGGAGATGGCCAGCAAGAGGCAGAAGTGCAGGAGCTGCAGTTGCCACGTGTCTGCCAATGCCAGCAGGAGGAATTGCCTGATGGAGCTGCTGTTGGACATTTGATTTCTCTGGCCATTGGGAGCTGTTCATGGAGAAAAGTCAGTGACTGGTTAGGAGAAACTTCTTCCAGCAAAATCAAAGCCTTTTCCCACAGACCCTTCTCCTGTAACACTCTGACACCCTTTTCAATTTCCAGCAGATTTTCCTTCAGCTCCAAGTGTGGAGCTCTGGCTAGTGCTGCCTGACTGGGACTTCAGGTTCATGGCAGCTACACAGCTACACACAGAGGTTTTTTAATTTCAGCCTTGCTGTGCAGACATAGGAGGGGCACAGGGTCCTGTCCTCGTGTTCCTCTTTGAATCTCTGTTAACGCAGAAAGCCCTGTCAGCATCTGCCCTCCCACTGCCAGGGAACAGGAATGGTAAAGTCTATTCAGATGTACTAGTGTTATTTACAGCTTTTCTTCATCTCCTCTGCTGATTATTTTTGGATGTCAGAAACTCTCTGCATTTCTGCTGCCTCAGGGAGAACAGTGAGTTCTCTGAGGCAAGATGGTGAGTGGAGAGGGAGGGAAGGAGGTCTGTCACCCTGTCCTGTTCCAGGATTCTCTGGGCTTTCACCTTTCCCAGACAGAGGATGATCACCCTCCCATGTTTCCTTTAAAACCATCCTGACATTGCTGAGAGCAGATGGATCCCCACAGTCCAGCAAATGTCCATCCCCTTCTCAAGGTCTCAGCCCCATGTTTGTACCCAGGGACAGACAGGGCTCATTTCACCAACCCAACAGCATTTTCTCAGCATAGACCTTCTATGTCTCACCGTGGGGCTTTTAGATAACACAGAGATGCTACAGGACAGGTTTGTATCCTGGAGGGAAGCTCAAAGCTTGGACTGAAATCTCAGGGAGACTTCCAAGTGTCCTTATGATGGCTTTGGATGAAGGGAGATGCAGCTCCTTCCCTGGCTGCACCGACAGCATTGCCCAGAGCTGGGCACTGGGGACAGCGTCACCCTGAGCCAGCTGTGCCCCCTACCAGAGCCCCTCAGGGCCAGGCAGCTGCTCCCAGCCCTGTGCTCTGCAGAGGGAACTGGGCCCGGGGCTGCAGAGCTGCCCCACGGCTCTGCTGCAGCTGTGCCTGCACAGGAGGGGCTGCACACCTTGGAGCCCCAGCCCTGAGGGCAGAGGCTGGGCTGGGGGACAGGAGGGAGGGGGCTTGTTTAGAGGGAGGGGCTGCACTGGAGGGGATCCTGTGGGCATCTCTAAACTCTCCCTGCCACAGCAATGTTGGGTTTTGTTTTCTCTCCGTGCCTGATCTTCTCTCTGTATCCTGGAGATTTCCCTCTTGCAGGTGTTTCCCTGTGCCTGATCTCCCTGTGCCAGCACTCATAGACCCCAAATCTCTGTGCACTCTCCTTTAGCCTGACAGAATCCTGCCTGTTTGCATGGCACTGGCTGGAGGCAGGTTCTGTTTGCAGCTTGGAGAAAGGACAGCTCAGACTGAGCCGGATGGCTCCAGCAAAGGTGATGCTGGTGCTGTCCATGGGCAGAGTGGCGGAAAGCACATTAGGGATCTTCTGTGAACCTATTGATTACTAAAAGTAACAGTTTCAGATCTCTCAGGCACTTTTGAAAATTCTTAATTAATAATCAACCACTAATATTTATCCCTCCCTCCTTGCCATGCTCCAATAGTTGGAAACTGAATGCCTGGTCTTTGTAAATTTCCTCATTTTTATCAAAGTCATTGTCTTGGTAATATTCCACAACTGATCAGAACACCTCAGCATGTCAGAACTTCACGAGCATTTCACCTCCACTGCACCACAAATACTCAAGGATTGTACTCACAGAGTCTGTAGGCATTGCAATGTTCCAGCTTTAGGAAATGGCTCCAGGAGCTGCAGCTGCATTGTCCTGCAGCCAGAGGTTCCTGTGCCAAGGGCTGGCAGTGATTCTGCCCCAGGCACTTCTCAGCACCTTCCCAGCCCTGACTGATTGAAGCTCTCTGTGCCTCTTTGCTGTGCCCAGGGTGGCTGCAGGCAGTGCCCCAGCCCTGCTGGGCTGGCAGAAGAGTTGGTCATCCAGAGAAATGTGCTTTTGAAGCTCTTCTTTGCTCTTTAGGAAGGAGCCAAGCCCAACTCAGCAGCACAGACACAGCACAAGGACTTTAATGAGCCTCTGGGGCTTTGTGCTCAGGCCCTGAACATCAGTCCCTGAGAGGGAGCTGAAGAAACCTCTCCAGAACTCCAAGTCAGAATCCAACTCCAAACTTTCTTGGACTTTTAATGGGTCCCACTGAGAGACACCACTGAGAAAGTGTCCCCAGGCCCCAGGCAGAGCAGAGAACTGGAGGCAGTGATGACAGGTGGGGACAAAGAGAAGACAAGTCTTGGTGCCCTGGGGCACAGCAGGGTCTGAGCCACCAAGGGCTGTGAGGAGACACCTTGTCCTGAGGCACTGGGGCCTCCTGGCACAGCCCCAGCCAGGCTGGGCACTGTCAGCCCCTTGTCCTGCCCTCAGCATCCTCCCTAGCCCACATCCCAGTGGCCTCAAGGATCTGCTGGAAGGAGTCCCTGAGGAGCCTTGCTCAGGAATTGCCCTGGGGTCTCCTTAATGCTCTCAGAGTTTTTCAAAGGACTTTGAGTTTTGCTTTTGCCTTGGAGTCTCTGAGAGGTTTGTGCAATCATGGCCTCCAATTATCGGCTGTAATTAGTCCCTGGAGAGGCTTTGTCAGTAACAACACGCACTGGGGCTCCTTAATGCTTCAAGGTAATTCAGTTATTTTAAGGTACTTGTTGTTTCCCTTTTGATACAGACTCTGTGAGAAAGACTGTGCAGTCACAGCCTACAATTATCTGCTGTAATTAGTCCCTTGAGAGCCTTTATCAGAAATGACACTCAGTGGGCTCATTAATGCTTCAAGGTACTTCAGTTATTTTAAGGTACTTGGTGTTTCCCTTTTGATACAGACTCTGTGAGACGTTTCTGCAATCATGGCCCTAATTATCTACTTTACAAGTCCCTGGAGAGCTTTGTACTGACATTAAGTGGGGCTCATTAATACTTTAAGATACTCAAGATTTTTAAGGTACTCTGGATTTTCCTTTCCACACTGAATCTCTGAGAAGTTTTTGTGCCATCCTGACCTCCAATTCTCTCCTCCAAGGAGTCCATGAGGAGCCTGTGTAAGGGATGGACCTCAGTGGGGCGCATCCATGATTTGAGACACTTTGGGGTTTTCTTCTCACTTTGACTCCTGGAAAGGTTTGTGCAATCTCCTCTCAGACCCTGGAGTTCCAGGGCTCAGCTTCAAATGCACCACGGGGCTCATTAGGATCAAGCAAATCCTGACAAACCATGGCTCTGCCTTGATTTCCCTCTGCTCTAATGCAGTTCATCAGAAATATTTCTGTAGTGGTTTTAGTTCACCAATTTGAGATTTCTTAGAGAATGCAGCAATTATTGTAGTGGGTTCAGTGTTGGCTAATTACCAGTGCACTCACTAGAATATACTTACTCATTTCCTCCTGTGTGATAAGATTAGGAGAACGGCAAAGCAGGCTCAAAACTTTAAGAGGGTATAAGGAAAAGTTCATTATTAGCAACTAAAAGAAAGTGTAATAAGAACAAAACTTTCAGAGCACTTCTCCTCTCCCTACAACGTTTTCTTTCTTACTGACAATATAAAGAGACAAGCCTAAAATTTTCAGTCTGTTCAACCCAACTAGAATAGTCTTTCTTGAGTTCACTTAAGGAGGGGAGTCTCTCTTTCATGCTATGGAGACTTATCCAGAAGAAACACTTCTCTTGTGGCTCGCAATTTCCATGAATAGCAACTGCCCAGAACAATCTGCAATTGTGACATCCCTCCCAGTTTTTCAAAGCTCTTTTACAGTTGTGTATATGGGCCATGTCAACTTATGGGGTATTAGTTAAAAGATGAGCTGTGTAAGAGCAAAGGTTCTCCTCATCTATTTCTGAAATCATCTTCATCTCTGAGAACAGAGATCTTTTTCTTCTCCCTGTGAAGGCACAGGATCTCATCACTCTTCCCTTTTTCAATGTTTTAACTTCTCATGGGATCACAGCTACTTCAACATTTGCTTACTTTAGCATGGAGGCCTTTGCTGAACAAGTCAAGTCTCCATAATTTTCAATGTGATATAGGGAAAAAGAGAGTTTGATGTATCAGTTACATTCTTCTCCATAGCTTTACAAGAGGATTTCAGCCCCAAGATCAAGGCATCTCCCCATCCCTTCAATCTGGGACTCAACTTCCCCTTCACTGACCTTGGTGTCTTCATGTAGCTCCTCTGTGTGCCTGCACTTTGTCCTTTTCTCTCACTCGAGGGAGGATGGAAGCACTGAAAGACTTCATATCTCAACTGGGGCCTGCAGATGTTTCCGTGACCCCAGCTGGGCTCAGTACTTGCAGCCAGACCTGTTCCATGTTCCCTCGGTTCCATGGGGCCCCACAGTGTCCCAGTGGTCCCTTGCTTGCAGGAGGCCCTGAGGTGTCATAATGCCCCCTTGGTGACACGAGGCCCTGAAGGGTCACAACGGTCTCCATGGTTCCATCAGGCCCCACAGTCATAATGGTCTCTAGGTTCCATGAAGCCCCACTGTGTCACCATGGCCCCTTGGTTCCATGGACTCCAGTGGTGCCACAATGATCCCCTTGGTTCCATGGCCTCCAGTGGTGCCACAATGATCCCCTTGGTTCCATGGGCTCCAGTGGGGCCCCAATGATCCCCTTGGTTCCATGGGCTCCAGTGGTGC